ACATCCAATGCACAATAATCAAAAGCATGACCTCATCATGCATGCAAATGCAATGGCATGCAAATACAGATTCTACAACAATCAGATGGTCAACCTCTGTTAGACCTTTCACCTCCATCTAGAAGTCAGTCAGACCACCAAGCCTCTGTGTTTTAAAGGATGCATCATGAATCAAGCATGTCCAGTCTGTAGTGCATCTTACCAGAGTGTTCAGCTGGTCCTCCACCGTTGGCGAAGAGGGCAGAGTACAGGTGAGGGTATGTCTTCTCCAGGGCCACACAGAGCTCCAGGAAATGGTCGCTCTGCTTGTTCATGAGCATCTTCAGGAGCTGGTCCACTTTCTCGGCGCTGGAGGAGCAGTTCTGGTCCAGCTCGAAGGCTTCCTGCTCGCTGAGGCTTCCCGATTTACTCAGCAGCTCTATCAGCTGGTCCGCATCCGTGATGGACTCCAGTAAGTTCTGGTGGTTCTGGTGAAGTAACTCTTTGTGCTTGGGCTCCATTGTAGTTCCTACAGTTCCCTAGCTAAACAGCTAGCTCCGCGCTATCGCCGTAGAGCCGATTCCCCGTCACAAACCCGATGAATGCAGCAGGAACTACTTTGTGTCAGCTCACTTGTAGGATTTAAGCCACGGCGCCATGAGATGTGATGGCTTAATGAAGCGGGTTTTCATTACAAACAGCAGAAAGGCACAGAAGCCATGTTTGTTGCCTGAGGCGGTTGACTGCACTAAACAGTGAGACATTTCTCCGGATCACTTACGCGAGGCAACTTCGCCCATTTCCCCCTGCGCTTCCGAGGAGAGCATGTTCGTCTGCGTTTATAGTTTCTTCTTGGCCATTTATTTGGCGCTGTGCGGACTCGAGTGTGAGCAAAAGTAGCGCAACTCTTCTGGCGTCCCCTACTCAAACTGCACGCTCCGCCATGTCTCGGTATCTCAGCGGCTGCTGCCTGCTGTCAATCAACTTCCCGTACAATGTCCATATACGGTAAAGTGGGCGGGGATTCGCCTGAGACACACCTGGGTTTCTCCAATGGGCGTGCACTACTGTTCAAAATTTCGGGCAAAAAAAGGCTACAAGGTTATGAAGATGATGCATCATGACATAACAAGTGCAAGGGGATTTTACGCTGGAACATGTGCTGTACACCGCAGACTGCTGATCTGCGGTAAATGTGGCTGTGCTAGTTTGTGATTTTATTGTATTGTAACAATATAGCCTAGACTTTTAAATAAATAAATGGTAGCTGGTTTATAAAAAGGTTATCAAGTGGTCTCAAAGCAGTCTCATAAAATGTAGTCCTTGTAAAAAAAATAGTTTAAGAGAAAGTAAACTATTGTATGATAGAATAAACAGTAAATTATTTGTTCTTTCTAATATACATATATATGATCTGTTGTTAATTAAAATTACAGAGTTAAACAAGTTTTACCAAACAGAAAAGGTTGCTTTTTCTTGTTACACATATTTAGCCTACATATAATTAGTTCCTAATAATAACAGGAACTATGTGCAGTGTAATTACAAGCAGTTCCACAAAAATTGCACACAAATTAGAAATACATGTTCTGCTTTACAAAAGTATGTAAAGTCAGAGTATTAACAAAGTGTGACCTAGTGCAAAAAATAGATTTTTTTAAATAATAATAAAAATCTTACATCGAGATGTATTTATCTGAGAAGCAAAATGACATAACATATTAAGTCTTGTTTTCTAAAAAAAAAAAAAAAAAGAGAAAGAGAAATGTATCAAAATAAATTTAGTTTACACTTAAAACAATCAAAATATCTGTCAGTAAAACAAAAAAAAAATTAATTCAAAGAGAAAACAAGATTATTTTTCCTTCTCAAGTAAATATATGTGTATTTAATTTATCTTTGACTTCTTCTGGGTAGCATGTGAAAAATGATTTCCGTGATTTATCCTGTATTCAGTCACTGTTTATTTAATATCATCCATATGAGTGCATTACATTTATGATTTATGGCTTTGTGGAGCATCCATCCTTGATGCTCAAAGTTCACATTATCATGCTGAAAGCCAGTTAGAGTGGGAGCTGAAAGAGTGTTTACACATCTTCATTAGAAGACTTCCATCATTAGCAGGGCGGCTCAGACCGTTTTATGGATGAAGCACTAAAGGTTATGTGGAGTTCACAGGCTATAAGAGGCCAGGGGTTTTTACATGGTAAAGAAAAGAAGATTAGTAAGTATCCAGTCAATTATCAGTTACCTCAAACATACAAAGAGAGATAAACACGGGATTAAACCAGACCGAGTCATTTTATTGGACTACCAAAGTAGATAACAAGGGGTGCAAAGAATGTCTGTCAGACACATGCAAACATGGTGAACTAATGAACTATCAGTTCTCACTGGCAATTGATTGTATGTATGTTATGCAAGACAGAGTGTGCAGAAACATTTGAAGAAATCTGCAATCTTTCAAATGCAGCTGACAGATGGAAAGAACCACATGTCAGCAAAGCAGGGTTGGTTACTCCCATCTGTCAAAGTTGTGACACTGCAAATTGGTTGCTCTAAATTGAATCTATTTTACACCGCACTCCCACATGAAGCATAAATGAGTGTTCTCAAGGCACTGACGCCACTGCGTTCAACTTGATGCTCAGATATAATTAACAACCGCCACGTTGTGTGCCAGACACATGTGTCTGTATACACTTCACCAAAAATCAAGACAGAACATTAGCTCTTTGTCTGCATTTTGTAAAACTCATAGAGACACAAAATAGGTATTTGTTGTGAGTGACTGATGATGAAATTACTCTGATGGAGTTATTTATCTAGTTAATTCTATGCAGCCTTGTGAACATTTTCTGTAAAGAGAATAGCATGCAGAGGTAAAACAATTTAAAAAGAGTCTTTAAAAAGATATGATTATTATGCATGAACAGATGTTTGGTTTTCATCTTATCTAGAGTTATAGATATAAGTTGACTGCTCTCAGTGGAACCTCATTTTCTGGATAGTATTTTAAGTTTTTAATTTTGAATGGATTTCCATTTCATTTATGACCTAAATTATGAAAGACGATTATTTCTGAAAAAGAAATAAATAAAATAAATGTATGTAATATTTTTTTCAGATAAAAGGTCAAATAAATCACACGATTTTCTGGTTATTTATTTGTTAATTTTTAATAATGCCATAATTGACTAACATTTATCTTTTTTTTTTTTTTTGCATAGTTCATTGTATTTGAAATGCACAGGGCAATACTGCCCTCTACTGGTGTAAATTATAATATCCTGAATTTAACTCCTGGATGTGTGAGGCAGCAGCTGACTCACCATCATAATATTTATATTCACATATTTATTTAGATGCATCCCTCCAAGATATTTGCTTTCATACCTGTAGATTTATGAGCGAACGTATATGACTAGACATTACAGAATAAGAGTCCTGCTGGTGTCTCTCCGCTAAAATCTTCCTGGGAAGATTATTTAAAACCCCACTGCCACATTGTGCTCTCGTTGAACTTGTCGTACTAAATAACGCTCATGTAACTCGCTGTCCTCAGCAGTTTGGCCTTGGTATGAAGAAATAACCCGGCTGTTGGATGGCATTAGATGTGAGCTGATCTGAGAGCAGTGAAAGGCTCAGCTTGCACTGCGGGAAGCGGGGTGTGAGCGACAAATGATGGATGGACCCCATGATTCAGTCACAGTGAGCTAAAAACCTCCTTAGCTATTCAAATCTTTTCTTAAACACGGCGAATTACAAGTGACACAAATAAGAGGGTAGGTCTATACAGACATTCAGCTTTACTGACTACTGGTTTTGCTATTAAAACAGAATTATCATCATTGAGCAAATTGAAAATTAAAATACATATTATAAATCTCATATTACTTTAATTTTACCTGGTAATATTTTTTTTTTATATTGCTCCAAATATTTGATTTTTTTTTTTTATATTAAATGAAATGTTATTATTTTATAAAACTTAATTTATTAAACTATAAATATCTAATACCAATTTTAATTTATTTTAATTACATTTTTTCATCATGCATTTAATGAGGTTATTTTTATATAGCTCTTTCTCTTTATGTATATATTATTATATTGCTCTAAATATTTCAGACCTGGGCATAACAACAAAAAAATGATTTGTTCTTTAATAAAATTGTATACATTTAAATTAAATTGTACATTATTTTAAATGTTTTTATAAAACTATAAATATCCTATAAAAATATTTAAAAAAATGTTATTAATAATGTTATGAAATTTTTCATCATGCCATTTAATAATTTGATCCAGATGTGCAGGTCTAATTATGATTATGATTTTTGCCTAGGTAATGTCATTTTATATATTAAATCTTTATTCTGTAGATTGTAATGCTGTTTGACTGCGAGTCATGCCTGATCTAGTAGGAATAATTATATGAATGTTGTTATTAATATTTATCAGGGTGTTTTGAGGTCACAGCTGAATTAGCTTCAGACGTCAGCACTGATAGTTCCAAAGGGGCTATTGAAGAAATACCAACTTAATTCGAGTTGAAATCTCTTTCAGGCAGGATTTACTTAGCATTTCATGTGTGTTTGGCTCTGTACAGAGTAAACAAATAAGAAACACAAAGACAGCACCATCATTACCACGTTTTGTTGTTGTAGTTGTTGTTGCCTCAATAGGGAAGAGGCCAACAATCATAATGGTTACAACAAAAATGTAAAAAAAAAGCTGAGTGTATTATGCATAAGATGCAGCAAACATAAATTTCTTTACTATAAAATGTTAATTTATGCCGAACATGATGACTACACCTAACAATTATGGCACATTTTCTCCAGTACATGTATATTTCTTAAAATACATAAGTGTGTAAAAACATTTTTGGCATTCAGATCTGTGCACAATATTTTGTTGTTGTAGTTGTTGTTGCCTCAATACGGAAGAGGCCAACAATCATAATGGTTACAACAAAAATGTAAAAAAAAGCTGAGTGTATTATGCATAAGATGCAGCAAACATAAATTTCTTTACTATAAAATGTTAATTTATGCCGAACATGATGACTACACCTAACAATTATGGCACATTTTCTCCAGTACATGTATATTTCTTAAAATACATAAGTGTGTAAAAACATTTTTGGCATTCAGATCTGTGCACAATACTTAATCCAGAATTTTCTTGAATCAGCTTTCAAACAAAGTATACTTGGAGAAAATGCATACATCAAATATATATGCACTCTTCCTGATATAAACAATAATTTGCTAAGCCACTACTTTGAGTGTAGAAGGCACATAAAGATACAGTTTGCTACTCATGAAAATAAAAATATATGAATAAAAGAGCATGAAATGTAACGTGCAGCATATATGCACACAAGTGCCTTTGCACTGACTACGGTAAAACATGCAACTATGTAATAGAGTGCAAATTAAACTAAGGCATAAGGTGTATAGAAATTGTGGTGTGGCTTCATGTCCTCTGAGTGTCTGCAAGCATCTGTATCGTCTAATCACTTCCACCGCAGAGCTTCAGCAGTAGTTTCTTATAATCCCCTGAAGTGTCTCCCTGTGAATGCAAATGAGTTTGATTACAATTATTATTACAGTGCTGTAATTTCCATTTCTCGAAAATGTAAAGCACAGTTTGAGGGGTAGTACTCACAGATATGGCTGTGTATAGAGATTTCCCATAATTCTTCATGTATTCCTGACGAATGTCCAGCATGTCCACCTCAGAGCGGGTCACCATGATGCGGATCAAAGTGCGATCCTTGGTTCCTGCTCCCTGCGTATTTAGTTTTTGAGCATATTCGGATTTGAAACTTTGATGCATGTGATCTTATACACTAGAGCAGTGGTTCCCAAACTCTCAGGCCAACTACTGCCTTTAATCAAATCAGAATTCAAGTAACCTGTGTTCCCTCAAATTATTTCAGCATTGAGCAAATTAACTCTTTTGAGTGCATAAGGACTGTAAGTTGCATTAGTCCATATTAATACGATAATATTACTGTAGTTACTGCGGTCCAATTCAAATACATACTATTTTCAACTGCTGTAAATATTTCTAGAACTTAGCGCGAGTACAAAAATTGATGTTCATTATTAAAATGTCAATGACTTTTCCATGCCTGGCACTTGAGAACATTGTTCAACACTTCAGCTCGCATCTTGCATTTCCAAATGAATAATGGCCAACTGAGTCCTTGACATACAAAACTACTGTATAATAAAACTCAAATTAAAAAGAATATATAAAATTATATATATATATATATGTTTTATATGAAAACATTTATTATAAAAATTTTATTACTTTTTTAACTTACAAATTAAAGTACACAATAATGTAATAATTACATTTTGTCTCAAATACATTTTTGATTAATTCGTTTCATTTCTTTGCTTTGTTATATATTAATGTAAAAGAAAAGTACCAATTCAAAACAAATGTATTCTAATATATAAATAAAAAATATAAAACATTTTTAATAAAAGAAAGAAATATATAAATACTACAGTATAATATAAAAATATATTTTTACTACTAGAAATATAAGATTTTACTGGCATACCACCTGGGGGCACTTTGTGTACACAGTTTGAGAACCTCTGCTGTAGAATAAAATGACTTCTAAACCATGGCTTTGTTTGTAATTAATCATAAATTAGCCTTCTCTGTTACTCTATAGTCATTACAGCTCATTCGCACTGAGAAGAATGAGTCTCACCTTCATGGCCTTGCAGAGTCTCTCAGCAAAGTAGGCCGGTGTGTTCTTGATGCATTTCACTGCATACAGAAAAACATGTTTAGACTCACCGTACACAAATCACCCTGCAGCTAACAAGCCGTGTACAATAGAGCAAGCAAGATGAATCTTGAAACTTAATGGAAAAATAAAACAGAAAGAAGACAGACCAGGCATTCATCTGAAAGTGAAAGTCATTTAAAAGAGAAAACCTGACTGTTCATAACAGCAAACCGAAATAACACACTAAACACACCGCATTATGAACATGTCACTGACTGAAAGGAAGTCATGCACTATGACACAGCAAGCACATCTGTCAGCTATGTGTTATGAATCTCACTGTGTGAAAAATATAATACCGCATATTTACCCTATAACAGCTTTACCCTTAAAGGGGCCGGCAGGATGGAGAGCAAGTTAAGAAATACAATTATGAGTGTTTAATGATTAGATTTCATGAAACGATTATAGATGGCAGATCAGACAGCTCACCGACAGCCAGCATGCCGCTCTCCAGATCTCCAGACATCTCCCTCTCGATACTCTTCTCAATGTCTCTGCCACACATGTGCTGATACTCATGAAACACTGTCAACATAAAAACACTTCATGTCTTCATATAATCGCTATCTCTGCAAACACTGAGATCACAAACAAATAGCTGTTAATGAGAATATGAGAGCACACTAATGAACTTTAAAGCTTGTTGTGTTACTTGATCACCAAATCAGCATAATAAAATGAGTAATGGCCGAAATACTGAAAATTCAGCTTTGCCATTACAGAAATAAATGACATTTTAAAATATGTTAAAATAGAAAACAGTGATTTTAAATTGTAGAAATATTTCAGAATATTCCTGTTTATATATATATATAGATATATATATATATACTGTGTTTTTGATTAAATAAATGCAGCCTTCATTAGCATAAGATACTTCATTCAAATAAGTCTTATGTTCTTATGAATTGAATTTTTTTTGTACTTTTGTTTTGTGTCTTAACTTTTGGCTGTCTGATCAAATAAACAGTCAATAATGATATGTTAATGAGATAAATATATGATCAGTATTGCACATATGAAACACATAATTAGACAAACAGGAAATGACTTAGCAAGTAGGTTGATTTAGAGGGGAATTCAAGTGTTTCCACTGGAAACCATGTCCAGTTATGAGTTATGAGCCTCGGCAAGAGTGTGTTTGTTAACTGCAATGCCAGACCCAAAACTGAATTTTTGGCCACCCCATTTTTTTTTTTTACACATGCATTATTTTGTACGTAGGAACACTCAATATACTACATTATACAGCCTGATTTGAGATGAAGACGCAAAACATGATTATTTCTGATTCAATATATGCCATATTATAGTATTCTTGACAAACAGGTTCTGAGATTTTGGTATTTCCTTATTCAAGTAGATATGCGCTTTTACTAGCACGCTTATTACCAAGAAGGAAACAAGCAGCCTGGGGAGGTGCTGAGTGAAATGACCTTCCTAAAAGGGACTTTGACTTGATAAAAGAATACTAATATTTGAGCCAAAGGGCCATAACGTACCTGCTCTGAGGTGAGCTTTGCTCCGAGCACACAGGATGGCATTGAACTTGGACTCATCTGTGCCAAGTTTATTTTCCCCTGCTTGATAGAGACCCTGCAGCAGAACACAAATAATAGCATAATAGGGACTCTTCAAAGAATGAGAAATACTTATTTTTAGAAACATTTTAATAATTACCTGAGCATCCTGTTTGGCTACTGATATGTCCACATTCTCACTCTCATCGCGGTTACCCTTTGAGATAATAACGGGAAGAAATACTGATATGACTTTCACATTTCTGCCATCACAATGTTTTTGACCATCAAAATATGAAATCATCATCACATTCCCATCATCTGTGTACCTGAGCAAGAGAGACCAGAAGTCTGCGGAAATGTCCAGATGTGTCTCCACTAATGGAGTCCTCCAGTGATTTCTTATTTTCTAAAACAGAAACACTGAGTGTTAGCCATCACATTTTACGCTGGTTTAATGTCGAGCTTTAAATTAAAACGTGCATGACAAATGCTTGATTAAGTGATATGACTCTAGTACGCACCAGCTTTGAAGACTTGATTGATTTCTCGAATCTCTGCATTAGAGCGAGAGGCCAAGATTTCAATCAGACAGGCCTCATCTGTCCCTGCTCCCTGTGAAATAATCAGCAGATTACATTTCTATTAATGGCATATCAAAACATCTAATCATATATTCTTTTATCTGTGCACCATAAAGGAACAATTCACTCAAAATGTAAACCTGTTGTAGGTACGTGAAAATTCCTCAGATATTCTCCCTTTGCCTTTGTGTTTTTGGTGAACTATTTCTTTATTCTCAGAGAACGGTGCTACACATAAAAGTAATACTATATGCATAATTAAGAATTCAAACAATTATTAATAATTCTTATTATTTTTATATTATTACAATGATGTTTACACATACATACACACGCATTTATATATATATATATATATATATATATATATATATGCTCATCAAGGCTGAAAATACAGTAAAAAGTCATATTCGTTGTAATTGAAATATTATTACAATTTAAAATAACTGTTTTCAATTGTAATAATTTTAAATTGTATTTTATTTTTGTGATGGCAAAGTTGAATTTTCAGCATCATTACTTCTGTCTTCAGTGTCACATGATCCTTCAGAAATCATTCTATTCTGGAAACCGTGATGCATTTTTTTCAGTATTCTTTGATGAATAGAAAGTTCAAAAGAACATTTATTTGATATAAATAAAATTGTAACAATATAAATGTCTTTACTGTCACTTTTAATTAATTTAATGCATCCTTGCTGAATAAAACAATTCATTTGATTAATTTATTAATTAATTACTGACCCAAAACTTTTGAATGGTATATAAATATAACTAAGCTATAACTATAAATCCAGTATGTTTATATAGTATATATTGCATCAGTTATCCATATGAGGGTGCTAAGCTGCACAATGTTTGATTGAATAATTTTTCATGCTTCATTTGTATTCATTCTGTTAATAAAGTACTTTCACAAACCTTGATGGCCTCTTTGAGCTCATATGCATCAAATTGAGCTGGAGTCTTCAACATGGCCAGCACCAGTTTCTCAAAGTTCCCTGAAAGCTCAGACTTCAGGTCCTTAATCAAATCCTGTAAGCATTGGGTAACATGAGAATGATCAGTGATGCTTTTCTTAACCTATAACAAAATCTGAACTTTGCTGCATTTAGTTCTTTTCTGTATTAAGGCTTTGATGATCTATATGCTAGTGTTGACAAAATTATCTTGTCATATTTATCTTTTAGTCTTCCTCCTTTGGGAAAATAGACAAAAAATACTGATGTCTAATTTTGTACTCAGGGGCATATAAATATTTATCCAATCAAATGCTCTATAGAATGAGACCGTTTCATCCAACTAACACCACCTGCCTAGCACCAACTAGCACATCATGCATGGTTCACAGCTTTCAAGAAAAGCAATTAGCTGTTAAAATAAAACCTGGTCTCAACCTGAGGGGCAGCTGCTGTATCTGCTGCACAGCAATTATCTAAAAAGCTCTAATGCTCTCCCTTTACCTTTCCATAGGCAGTCTTGTATGACACCAAGAGTGGTACACGCTGCTTGTTGGAGCGACTTCCTAGTAAATTAATGATGGCTTGTTCATCAGTGCCTGTTGAAACATGTCCATGCATATTAGCAGCAAATATAGGAAAACACAGGAGTCATTTTCTGGAAAGCTCCATGTCAGTCTAAAAAAAAGGTATCAGTATTTAAACATCCGTCATCTGTATCACAAAGGGGTCAAACTGAGATTAATAATAGATAAACACCAAAGAACAAAAAGAACAGAACGCCTTTTAACCCTGAAGGAGAAAGAGTGACGCTGCTTTCTAAGAATTAGAGTAAGTGGAAAATGAACATGAAAAGTAACCCACCAAAGCCCTTCATGGCCTTCCTGAGGACTTCCGCATCTTTTAGCGGATCAGCACCAGGGAAGTCTTGCATGGTCCCTCTGAATCCACGCTACAAATAAACAAAATAAAACAACAAGGAATTTAGGACACAAATACTGTGTATACTCAGGCTTTTTGCAGGTTTTATGAAGGTAAATAAATATTTTTAAAGGCCATTTAAAGACCAAGTAAAGAAAATTTAAAGAATTAATTGAATGGAACATAATTCATCAATATGTTATCTATATCTAAAAACAATGTGTACGAAATATAGCTTAACTAGAATAAGGAAATATCTTATATAGACTAATATGGATTAAAACAAGAACATGAAAAATCAACTTAATTCAAAGGGTAAACACATCACTGACAGATATTTCTTGTTTTAAGCATAAACTCACTTCATTTTGTTCAATTTCTCTGAAAACAAGTTTTAAACTATCTTTTGCACCAGTAAATGTATCTTGATTTAATTATACTTGTATTGGAAAACAAGACAAAAATACTAAGGAAGTTCATTATTTTCAGTGCATGCAACATTTAATACCAGACTTTCTGCTCCAATTTGAGAGCTTTTAAGCCCTACATTTGTGGAAAGATGAATTAAGACTTTTTAAGACCTTTTTAAGACCCTCAGAAACCCTGTATACTGCATTAAATTGCACGAGAAAAAAAATAGTTAAGAGTTAATTACATTGATAGCTGGAACAGCAGGTGCACCTCCTCCGTAACCTCCTCCATATGCGGGCATAGACGGGTTGGGTGAGGGTGCATTGGGATAGCTAGGCATGGACGGATTGGGTGCTGGGGCATTTGGGTAGCCCGCCATCTGCTGACCCGGGGGTGGGCCTCCAGGGTATCCCATTCCTGGACCTTGGGGCATACCTCCTCCTGGCTGAGGGTACATGCCATAGGGCTGGTTAGGGGAGGGGGCTGGTGGGCCCCCAGGTTGGGGGCCAGGATAGCCACCAGGCACTTGAGGGAACATGGATGGATTTGGGGTAAATCCACTATTGGCTGCGAACTGATTTGCCTGTGATGGAAAATTTTGAGGGATATTAACCATTCTGGCCTATTTTTCACAATCCAGACGTTTACTGCTGTTCTCTTACAGACTATCTTGTCTCACATGTCAGATTACAGAAATAAAATGAGCTGTGACCATTTCATGTTGACTTCAAAACAGTGTGTATAGGGGAAAGCAGTACACAATTTGTATCAAATGACAGGCTGATAATAATCTAGACATCAACTTTTGATCATTGTTCTGTGCAGTACCCCGAGGGCTCTGCATCCTCTCCTAACTATATTAATTAAAAAAATTATTTTCAGTTCTGAACCTGTTTTGATGTGATAAGACAAAACAGAAACACCCAGAGCAGCAGGTTTTGTTATGGTAATAAGAAGTGGCAGGTAACATTGCACTGACATTGATTGCACATTAATTATTAAGCTCTTTCTGCTAGGTGTTTCCACAATTTGTAAGTCTAATGACTTGTATATAGTTTTCATGGAACAGACTGGGAAGTTGACCTGTCATGTGACATGCTGAACTCCACCTAAAACAATTTTAAACACCACTAGTTTTGCTATTTTGTTAAGATCCCTTTAATGATTATTTGAGTAATTGGCTGTGTCAAGTCTTTTCAAATGTATTTGTCACACCACAAGGCCATGTAAATGCCATAAATATGTAAAAATAAATCAACACAGACACACACACTTCAAAAGTCAGTAACATCTTACTGGGGTCAGTAAGATGTTTTCATGTTTTTGAAATAAGTCTCTTATGCTCACCAATACTTCACTTATGTGATTAAAAATACAGTAAAATTTGATTCTTCAGAAATCAATCTATACTGATCTGCTGCCCAAGAAACATTTCTTATTATAATCATGATTAAAAACAGTTCCTTAATAATTTTGTGGAAATGCTGACATTTTTTCAAGATTCTTTGATTAATAGAACGTTCATAAGAACAACATTTATTCAAAATATAAATATTTTCTAACACTATAAGTGTATATTGATTTATGCATCCTTGCTGAATTAAATATATATAAATTCATCAAAAACTGCACACTTGTTTCAACATTAAAACAGCATTTCAGCGAACAAAACTACTGTTGAACGAGCATAGGCCATATTCATATAATTTTGTAGAAGTGGGATATCTTTTTTTGGGATATCTGAGATCTGCAGATCAGACTGGATATTTGTAGGACTTTTAATTTGATATGCAATGTGTGTGATCTTCAAATATGAATACATTTATGTATGTCCGCTAACCCTTTTAAAGCAAACAATGCTTCTAGCAAACAATGTGACATTCACTAAGTAGTACATAGTGAATGAGTGAACGAGTGAGCTGTTTTCAATGCACTACACCAATGTGTACAATACCTTTGGTGTTTATGTTCTCTCATGTGCCTAGGAGTTCAGCACCGCAGTATGATCATGATAGACATGAACAGAGGCAAACTTTCCACACTGACAGTTTTTGTATGAGAAGGTGTCTAGGCATCGTGTTGACGCTTATATAACTACTAGCGCAACTGATGTGGATACACCGGATATTTGCTTCCCTGTCAGAACAGATCAGATTTCATTACAAGCAAACTGACAGTGCAGACAGACAGTGCTAAAGATCAGATCTGAAAACCAAATCAGATTAGTGGGAAGAGTGAATGTGACGAGTGGGGCGGGGCCGAGAGCCGTGGGAGTGGAGCGAGGCCGGTGGAGTGAAAGATAATGAGGGACACCTGCTTCACACACCGGTCTCGAGTCCAACGGAGGAGCTCCGGAAGGATAAAAGGAGGAGCGACGACAGTGGAGGACGAGAGAGGACCAGGCCTGGATTTTATGTTGTTTTGTTTCTGTTTGTGACCGGCAGTCGTCCGTGAGGGGCTGCCGCTTTTACTTTTGTTTTGTGTTTGTTTATTTATTAAAGTTTTATGTTTAAATATTCGCCGGTTCCCGCCTCCTTCTTCCCGTGACTACGAACTTTGTTACAGAGAACAATTCCTTAGAGTTTTGAACATTTTGATAATTAAAATAATGCTTAGAAGTAGGGATGTAACGATTCACTCAACTCACAATTCGATTCACGATTATTATTTTTTAACAAAATGAGATTTAAGACAAATTATAAATTAAATGTGTCCTTTTATTATTGCTTGGACAAAATGCTGCACATTTCTTTGTGAAATTGAAATATAACACTATAATAATATACTAATATAGCACTTGTAAATTATTGCTCTTTTGTTGGTTTTGATTGCTTCTATTGTCCTCATTAGTTAGTCGCTTTGGACAAAAGCGTCTGCTAAATGACAAAATTTAAATATAATGTAAATGTAAATAACAAAACTATAAACATTTTAAAACAAGCCCCAAATCAAATAAATAAGTAACACAAATAAAATAAATCTCTTCATATAAACAAAATAAGGCTTTGTCTGTGTTCTTTCCATTTAAAATTAGAGGCAACAACTGCATTTTAATCATGATCCAAACAAAGATGCTGCATACATGCAACATGAGCAGTTTTTAAACTAAATTAGATTGTATAGTTTCGAAATTTGAAGCAAAAACAGAATGGTTTGACTTCAGTTTTGTGAAACTATACATAAAAATATCTGCATGAAACAGCAGACGAGCTGAATGAGACGCAGATGCACTGTCTGCCAGCAGGTGGCGCTTAAAGCATGGTTTCCGCTGTAAACAAAGCAGCGCTGCACTTATGAACTTTAATATGCATTATACAGAGGCAAGATGAAAAGAAAAAATACCATCTAAACTTTTCTAAAGACAGTAAGTTCCCCTCAGACATGCATTCATATAAACTCCTACACCTAAATGAATCGCGACTTGCTTAGCATCTCAACCGATTTGAATCGTCACATATTTGAATCGATTTTCAACTGGCTTGCGGTTAATCGTTACATCCCTACTTATAAGTAAAACAAAGCAAGGTCAAAAGTGCTAGCATGTATACACACCAAACAGCACATTTTGGTGTGGCAAAATAGCTAAAGCAAGCCGATTATGGAAAATGTGTGACCAACTAGTCAACAAGTCAATGGTTTCCTTCCAACAGAACATTCAGTAATGTAATCCACGTGACCTCTGGTGCAAAAGAAGAGCCTCCAAATGAATGTCTGTCAGTGCAAGACAATTTTAGAAACTAGCTAGCGTTTCTAACTCACTATGCATTCAGTCACTCACTCACTTTTTTTCCACTGGCTCTACCTAAAATTTCCACATTACCGTGTCAACATCACTATTCATCACTGTTCAGTGAAAGCGCCACAAAACAAAGTTGGTTTGTCCACTCAGTTTATGTCTAAAATAAAACCTTCATAAACATTTCAAATACAAACTGCATAGAGTATGATGTAAGGCAGTACAATGCACACATATGGAAATCATCTACCAAATAACACCCTGCTACGTGCAATTTCCTGGTGGTACAGTGGCTCACCTGAAGGCACAGCAGCATATGGCCCTGGCTGGCCAGGATAGGCACCTGGCTGGGGCGGGTAAGCTCCAGGTTGGGGAGGGTACCCACCCGCCTGTGGGGGGTACATCCCAGGCTGAGGGGGGTAACCTCCTGCAGCTGGAGGATACGCCCCTGGTTGGGGTGGGTATCCACCGGCCTGAGGAGGATAGCCGGACTGTGGAGGATAGCCTGGATAACTCATTGTCCTGCCTGAAATTGAAAAAAAAGTATGGGTTGCAAAATTGTGTATTGAGTAAACCTTCACAAGCCTGGATTGCAGAAACACAAATGTAAAAAATGATTTCAACATTTAGTTCAGTTGGGAACTGTAATTTCTTTAACAAGCGCAAATGCATCAGATGCTTCCAGTTCATCTGAAGTCAATGTAACGGTCAAGTGATTCCCCATTTTTAATTTTTTTTAAAGCTTTTACATGACTTGAAAACCTGCACTCCGAGACTCTAGGATAGGCTCCAACATTCCCACGACCCAACAGAGTAAAGTTTGGATAACTGATGGACTTGAAAAACGGTCTTGAAAAACTTGGTTGCTAACAAGTGGCTAAATGGGACTACAGCGGTTATCACTAGTCTGGTTTTACGGCCTCACTGCTGCGTTCGACACTATAGATCATGACATACTCATAGACAGATTACAAAACTATACAGGACAGGTATTCAAGGGCAGGCTTTAAGATGGTTTAGATCCTACCTGTCCGATCGCTACCATTTTGTTCATTGTTTGTGAATGGTCAGTATAGTGATATTGCTGGAGTTGATTTGGTTTTAATGAAGTAGTTCATGGGTGCATTTTTTCAAATTGTTTTGCAAGCATGTTCTACTGTAGAAAAACATCACCCATTTTCTTTCAGTCTAGATGGGTGACAACAGTCAAAACTGACACATTTCTGTTTAACACCTGACTTGAGATGTTGAGAGTGAGATGTTCCTCTGCTAAATAAAGCAACATTTACCTTTAGTCTGCCAAAATCTAGCATGAAGTCTATTACAACATAGGTCAACTAACAAAACAATATAGTTTCTTTCAATTTTGTATACAGAAGATTTGCATTTATTTGTGTTTAAAAAAATAAAATAAAAAAAAAAGCTTAATTCTCTGTGTTTTTTTTTCTGACCTGAATGGAAAGTAGTGGCTATGCTCTCAAAATCAAGCCCTCTTTTTTTTTTCAGTGTGTCTAACTAAAGAGTTCCCATGTGGTACAAACCATGGAAACACATTACATAAAACAAATTCAAGATAGACTACAGTAATGTTCAGGAAGTAAAAGTATTTTTTTCCTTAGGGAAATTGATTTTTAGTGATAACATATTAAACTAACGTAAGACTGCCCATGAGCTAAACATCTGAGGTTTCTAAATGATGGTGTATGCTTTTGTAGATGCCACAAGTAAACGTGTTTTCAACTTAACGATACGAAATAAAAATTATTTTCAAAATGTATGCTACTGATCTTATGTGAACATTTCATTGGTGTATGTTTATCTATCTATCTATCTTATTTTATTTTTAATGTTTATTAAAAATGTCATGACTAAATCTTCCAGTGAAACAAAAGACTTCTATCTGGTGACAAATGACAGACTTCTCCAATGATTTGTCTGCTTAAACCCCACCCCCTTTTTCCTACAAAACCCTTCAATCCCACTAATCAACAACCGATGGATAGAACAGCTAGCGGAAAATGTTGAGCTCTACTGTACGTAAGCATCATGCTCTTTTATCTTTGCTAAATATCTGATTATTGAGGCAGTGCAGAAAGGCAATGTTATCTGCAGTAGGGTTAGAAAATATAGTACATGGGCTACAAATTATATGGATAACATGATAGGAGCAGATAAGATATGAAAAAAAACAGGGCTTTTATAATATTGCTCACTGACCCTTGATGCATTGAGAGATGTCCATATTTTGTGAACTTACAAATAAACAGCTACATAGTATTATTTAGCCTGTGTTCATGCTCTATATGTGGTCACTGGTCATGGAAACTAATACTGTGTATTTGAAAGTAAAATACACTCCGCATACAGTCTTATCACCTTTACTTAGTGTGGGAGCTGTTCGTCAAAGCACCTCCCTGCCATAAAACACATATGTACAGAGGAAAGGGGCAGTATAAACAGACTTTTAGAGATAAAAAGCACCACACCTCAACATATGATGCAATCTAAACAGTCAGCCTTTCCAAACTTATAGATATATATTGATGGTAGGGATGCACCGATACCACTTTTTCCAGTACTCGCCCAATACGATACTTTTATTTTTGGTACTTGCCGATACCG